TCAGTCCCTGCTGTGGCAGGCGAACGGATGATGTGGGAAGTTGCTGTTAACAGTCATTTCATCTTTTCCTGCCACTCAAGGGAGATGCTGTCCGGTAGTGTGATAGTTGTTATTTCATACATTTTGCCAGTATGTCCATATATCATCCGCACTCTAGGAGAGGAGGCAGCTCTGTCGGCGTCACGTCTTTAAATCATCATAAACCCAACCAGCTGACAGTTCCTGATGTGGACAGCGTGCGAGGTTAAGGTTGGCAGCGACAGTCATTTCTTCTTCTCCCATCACTCAGGCTGTGTAAGGTTCAACATCTATTCAGTCTGAAGGAATGATATGACCATAGGTGTGATAAGTTGTGTCAGTGGCCTCATAGCTTCTGCCAGAAATCACTGTCATCTATCACAGCCCTTTAATGTTAATGCAAAGGTCTGTCCTACTGCTTTAGAAGCTGTATTTAAATAAGGTCTTATAAGCCATGCAATCCATATCCCTTGTATCTTCCACCTTTAGTCCTCCTCTTTTAACCTTTAGTAGCAGATATATGGCTAAAAATACCAAGTGATGATAAAAAATGTGCTGGATATGAATACATTAATGGGGGAAATATGATGTCTCTGCGGACCAGATATTTTTCTAAAGATAGAAAGCTTGAAATGAGATTCAATTATTAATCGAGAAGAAGCAGACGTAAGAGTGAAAAAGGAAATAGTGCGGGGATAAAAAAAAAAAAGACAAAGTAATAAGAGATATTACTAATAAGACTAGCATCTCTACTTTTATCAGCATGCCAACATGCTAATAATAACAACATACCAATGTTGGATCGTATTTTCCCATAGTTTAGCATGTTGGCATGCTAGCATTTGCTAATTCACTTTACATAGAAAGCTCAGGAGGTTGGCCACTGATCAGAGGGCTGTGGGTTCAATGTCCTGCACACATGTTGAAGTGTCCTTGGGCAATTCACTGAAACCCAGATTGCTTAAAACAATTGCTGTGTAAAAACAAGCCATTTACAGTTGACCAATGATAAAGCACAATTGAACCACTCTATCCTACTACCACCATCAATGTAAGAAAGCATCTTGGGTTAGCCAAAGCGTGCAGATTTGATAAGAAAACAACAAGCATGTTCACAGTCACAAACAAATCCTCCCGTACAGCAACCCAAGCAGGACATAACACCTTGAACGTATGAAGTAAGAAAATGCCAGCCACCTTCAGAATATCAAAACAACAGACGCTGCCATCTCAAAATCCTTGACCATGGCTAAAATGTGATATATCTTACAGATTTTGCAAAAATAATTACCAACAGAGAAAATCTAGTGTGTTGAGCCAGAACTTAACACAATTGAAATTGTAAACCAATCTGTACTCTCTGCTAATAGAGTGCTGAAGCTTACAAACACCCAAATTGGCCGATGGCACCAAAAAAGCCTTTGAACCTCTTTGTAGGGTTTATGACTAATATTCACCCACTGATATCTGCTAAGACTTATCTCAATGAAAGTTTGTCTGACTGTACAGCTCATACTGTATTATGGCTGTAATACCAGCCTTCAGGTAGAGTTGACTGCTAAGAATTATCCAGTCAAACATTTAATGACCTGAATAAAAGGAAGAGGGTAAATTCTTATCTCTCCGTGGGTATGACTATGATGTGCTTTGGTCCTTCGGCAACAATTACCTGCGTGTGTCAAAAACCAGGCAACCATCGCTGCACGGAACAACCACATGTCTTGGCCCCCAAGTCATAGAGGGGAAGAGGGGGAAGAGACACACACACACTGAGGAATGCTAGTTGTTATCTATTAATAGTTTGTAAGCTTTAGCCCATAACAGCAGTGACTCTCTTCCGAGCTTAATTGCATTTCCCATTAAAGCAGTGCTACTCATTATGGTTTGAGCATATTTTGTATGTGTCCCTTGGTGCCAATCCAATTCATCTACAAGGCCATGTTTTGTCTGCCAAGCATGCCAACCATAACGAAGAAAAACACAACAACTGGAACAGCATTAAAGCAGCTTTAGGCTTGTGTATGAGTTCCTGTGTGCGTGAGTGCGTGCGTGCATGCGTGTGTGCATTTACATTCTGTGTGCATCCTACCTCTGCCGACCAAAAGTTCTTGAGGCAAAAAGACGTCCTGCAGGTATTGGATTGTTTTGCTTCACTTCCTCTTTTAGTGGGAGTAGAGAGACAAAGCAAGATAGTACTGCCCCCCCCCCCCCCCCCCCCCCCCTCCCTCTCTTCTCCCTGGCTCTCAGCCTCCCTAATGGCATCACATTCACATTCATCTAACTGCCCACACAGTTAACTTCTGCAACAGATATGGCAATAACAGTAAAGGTATTTTAACCCTTTACTCTATACGTTTAATAAAAGGTCCTGCCATCACGTTGAACATTGTTATACCTTGACTACACTTGCCTTTGTGTTCCTTGCAGTGCGCTGCTGATGTCTTCCAGCTGACAGCGGCTCAGGCCCTTGGGATGAAGCTGCCAGTGTTTTCCCAGGCGGCTGAGCATATTGGTGGCCATCTGCCTCTCTGCATGCAGCGCCTTCACACTGCGCCAGCCTGACCACCCACAGAGTCCAGAGGCGAGGGGCGCTCTACCCGCAAAGACCCAGCACCTCTTCAACGTTTGGCCTCTTTTACATCTTAGTGGGCAGCACTGAGGTTAAATATGAGAAACTACACCAAGGCTGTATAACAGGGGTGTCAAACTCAAGGCCCTCAAGAGCTTGCAAAGAATATAATATACACTACAATTGGCGTAATTGTTGAATATTTGCTTTCAATTATTTGCCCTAGACTTCTGCTTTCAGACGTAGTTATTTATGGAGTTATTACCAGAACTGATAACAATCCAATGCAGAGCCAATAATGTAATATAATACATTATTTTATATTTATTATATATTTATATAGTCTTAAAGATACAACCGGCCCTTTGAGTGCAACCATAATGCTGATGTGGCCCGCCATGAAATTGAGTTTGACACCCCTGCTGTATATTAAAGGTAGGGTAGGTAAGTTTGAGAAACCGGCTCGAGATCGCTAGAATACACAACCGGAGAAAATCTGCCACTTCCTTATAGAGCCCCTCCTCCAACACACACAAACGCGCACATGACCAATGAGGGCACGAGATAAGTTTGTGCACAGATGGAAGGCTGACAGGCAGGTAGGCCATCCAGTTATTTTAGCCGGGCCAGCTAAAATGATTGGTCGTGCTTTTTACAGTATTACGGCTTCCACAGATGACATTTTCTTATGGATTTTTTGTCAAAGCACTTAAGATATTCATTGCTATCGGGAAGTTAAGAGCATTCCATGGAATATAACAAAAAGTGTATCTCGAGCCGGTTTCTCAAACTACCTTTAAGGCAAATAGTTGGTGTCAAATAATGATTTCTTCGAAGATGAAAAAAGCTTTTGCTTAACAAGCTACACAGCCTACTCAGCTCTCTCCCTCAAAAGCTTTTGCAAAGCACAAAGGGTCAGGGAACTGCTGTCACTCTGAGAATCATCTGTCTGTTGTCACCGAGTATGACTAAATCATGAAATGATGAATATTTCCTCAGGCAACATCCTGACAAGCAGAAACTAGCCTCTTAAACGCATTGCCTCCAGGCATGTGTAGCGTTACATAATGAAGCTCTGCCATGAAACCTATGAATATACCCAGTTTTACATGCTGTGTGTTCTCTCTGCAGCCTGACAGCTTCTTACAATAGCCTACATGGAGGATAATGACAAAACTGAATAAACAATGAATGAATGTAGAACAGGCACAAAAAACAGACCCACAAGAAGAACAAAAATGACTTTGACAGCAATGTGACGCCTGTCATGAAATCAGAGCTTCAGTGAGAAAAGCCATTTGTCTCATGACGGACATACTTCATATTTGCTTATTGATTATTTTTCCTGGCAGAGACTTTAAGAGCCTGAAAATGCCCACTGCTACCTAACAACTTGAGTATTTACAGTAGGCAAGTGAATTGCTACTGGCAATGCACTTCCACTACATTTCATGCTGCCAACTGCTGACGTGTGACACTCACTTCAGGAGTAGGTGGAGAGACTTATCAAATCTCCTGAGTACAAAGATGGTCCCGACAGTTTTTCTGGGTCAGCTGCAGACTGGAGGTGTTTATTAGAAAGATGAAGGTTTAAAGGTTGTCAACAAGCTATACTCCACGGTGAAACAGAGTTAACGACATGCCTGAAAGAGACATTTTACCACTGACGCATTCGCTGTCAACAATTATTTCACATCCTCTTTTGCCCATCCCTTCACTAATCCGTTTACCTTGCTATATAAACGGACAATGATGAGAAGTAGGATGAAACAACACAATTGGGATCTGTCAACAGCAGCCTGCTTATAGAATATTTGTAAACCATGCTTGGGGATCGCAGTGGATCTGGTGGATTCATTCTAATCAAAAGAAGTTTCTTTTTAAAACTGAGCTGTCAGGGTATACTGGAAGAGAAATAACGAGCTATTCGTAAGTTGAGGAGGAATAACCGCCCCCTCATTGGCCATTCTCAATCCCGACCCTTGAGAACCAACCACTTCCTCCTAGCCGAACATCCACGTAATTAGCCACCAATACGGCTCCCTCTCGCCAATCAAACAGTAGCTATTGGAAGTGAGCGCCATGGGATGAGGTAATTACCCTCGACACTGAAAGGACCTCTCACTGCCCAAACCCTTTACTGAGGGTGAGAGCTTATTAAAACAGTCATTGGCTGGAGTTTTCCAGACTAGTGATGGTACAGCACAGTGGTTGGAATATGTCCTGAAGGACTGAGAGAGAGGAAGCTTGTTTAAATCCGGTTGAAAGAGAGGCTTCCTGACACCTGAGGTAGATACACACTGATGCGGACCAGTGAGCTGTCAGGAGCCTGTCTACGGGTCATTGCGCGCAGCCAATGTTTCTCCATTCATTGAGCCAAATACTGTATCACAAACGCACAGAGCAGCCTTACCTTTCTGTAGACGATCATATTGGGAGAGTCCTCCTCTGGATCGCTGGTGCCCACACCTCCCTGGTCTTTGGAACCCTCCGCCATTTTCACTCAGTCCTGTAGAAGAAATAGATGGAGCACATGAAAACAGCATCCATTGGACGGATGAACACAGAATGACGGTTCGATAAACATCAGTCAGCATTTCTATTTATCCCAGCAACTAAAATTGTTTCAGCTTTTATCATCATGACATTCATCTGCCAGAATGTGTGCTTCTGTCTCGGGAAGGAGACGCCTGTCACAGTCGGGACAGATAAGAGAGCTAAGGCAGGCCGGTGGAGGCTGAATATTAACTAAGCTGCAAAGTCAAATCTTGAACACACAATACAGCAGTGATGCCCAACCAGGAATACTTGTGAGGAGCAGTAACCATGAAATATTGTTGAGTAGCTTGAACTCTAAAATATATAGCTAAAACATATCACATTTTTAAGATAGCTGTAAAACCTGAACACTCAGTTTAAATGTGCTTGCATGGGAAGAGAAGTCTAAAGAGTTAGTAATAGAACAGTTGAAATATGGCTTAAAGTATGGCTAAATACATAGCTATATAACTAAACGGTTAGAATAGATCACTTTAGCAAAAAGTCATCCATGTAGTAAAAATAATTAATTGAGGCAGGTGGATAAAAAGTAATAGTCCAAATGCAAACTTGTCCAGAGTGACAGTTTATTAATGCATCAGAGATTAACCTTGACTGTTTAAAAAGAAATAGGATTTAATTTAAGAAAACAATTTTTAGAAAACGAAAACCACAACAACTGAAAGTGGACCTTGAGCGAGATCTACAAAAACAATCCCTCAATTGATTCAATTTTACAAGGCTTAACACACAACAGTACAGATCAACTCCAATACATAATAGGCTATTTGTTGCTACACCCTTCCACCAAGGTTCATGAGAAAAAGTTGTTTTTTCTTCACAATCAAACCAACGGTATATAGGTAATTATCAACTGTTATGACACTGACTTACTTGTAATGTAATCAGTGTCATAACACCCTATTTAAAATGACCTCAAATGAACACAGGTTGTGAAACACTGCAGAACATGACTGTATCGGCCCAGGGGAGTCGGGATGGCAGTAATTATGTATACAGGCACAGATGTGTGCCGACAACACAGAGTCCATGTGGCTGTGAGGAGATGAGTCATCCCTATTTACCAAAAGAAAAACTGATGTTAACATGAGTGAACCCCAACCCCCTAAATAGTTTAACTGTGGTCAATGCGAGCCACTGTGTTCTTTTTAAACTAAGCATTAGTAAGTGTTGACTCCATTAGCTGCAATCATATGATGGTAACCTCTGACCTGCCTGCACTCCCCACATTAACCCCACCCCAGGCTTCCTGCTCTGAAAGCTGCTGTTAAGGGATTTATTTACAACCCCTACAGTCCCCATCACTTTCCCTTGACTGTCTCCCCTCTGCCTCCCTCCCTCCCTCCCTCAATCTCTCAGGAGATTTAATTCTGCTTAACTAAGGATTTCCATAACCGACGCTGACGACTGGGCTTCAGACGCTTTAGCCCCAGCTACCCTTTGCAACCGAAGAATAAATGGGTTAAACCATTTATGAGTTCTTAAATCGTGCCGAGGAAAGATGGTTGAGGGGGTGGATTACACAGTTCGACACATTGATAATTTTCTCTACTTATAAAACATAAAGTGTGAGTAGATAATGCTGCCAAGAAAGAAATAATCACACGACTCACACTGGGCCTCACTCTTCACAGCTATTTGTGTTTGGGAATGAACCTTGATGAGCTATCGATGCCAGAAAGCACATAGGAAGCAGATAGCAATTTATGACAGGCACACATGAGCGGGCACAGAATGAAACCTTCATACATTAACTGAATTAGTAACACCGCATCTTGCCAAGGGTTGGCTTCTAGCAAGGGATTTGGAGTAGTTGAATTATGTAATTGCAGCCGTACAATGTTACAAGTCTGAACAACCGCAGATAATGGCTGTTTGAGGAGGGGAAATGAAAATGTGTTCAAATTCAGCGCACTACCGGCGTGAACGACATCAGACGTGTAAGGTGGCTTTGTCACCACAGTTGAACACTTTAATATATTAGAGCACGGAGCATGGTGATGCGCATGAGTGAATGAGTAATTATTGGCTCTCTCCTTACTGTTTGTTATTGCCACCAGAAGTGCGGAGGGCAGCACTCCCCATTGGCTAACACGTCTGTGCTCTTTTTAGAGTCTGAGCACATTAGACAGCTCTGTCCGTCTCAGGGGCTGCAAAGAACGGCGGGTGGTACAGATTGCATAGCACTTGCTTAAAGAAAACAATAGCGAGCCTACCCTTGTGGATAGGAAGCTGTAATTCTAGAGAACAACTTCCTCCCAAATGAGCTGCACAAGCATGCATAGCAAACTCCACAGAGAGGCCTGTCCGAGATGTTAATTGAAAGCTTGTGTCAAAGTGGAATGGATGGACAACCAGAGTGCAGTACAGGTGTGTGTGTGTGTGCACATGCACAACCTCAAATCCAAGCAAACACCAATTTACGAGGAGACAAACACAAAAGGACACTGCACACACACACACGTATTCACGGGACAGAACATCCAGCAACAGCTCAAATAAACAAGCAAATAGAGGCTTAGACAGACTGCCAAAGAGTTCACACACCCAGAGCCATGCTGTGATAGTCCCAACACCATGTTCAATCTGCTAGTGCGAGCCAAGTGCAATGCAACATCTGTGACACCTTGAAGCATTCATTACCTTAGATACAAAATAATGCCTGGTCCACTCGGCTCCCCCGGCTGGCTCCCCCTTAGCAACAAGCAGCAGGCAGGTTCATGGTATAATTGGCAGAGGGGAGAAAAGGGGATGAAGAAGACAGGGTGATGAAAGCAGTGAAGCAGCGAGAGAGAGTGAGAGAGAGAGGGAGAGAAGCTGGCCGATCACTGCAGTATTCCTCTATTCCTCCTCCTCTTCTTCCTCTTCTCTCTTCACCAGTCCTGCCTTGCCCCGGCAGTTCAGGAGATCCTCACATGTGTGCACCTCGTTCATCCCCCCTCTCCCTCTGTCTGCATGTGCTCGAGTCAGAGCGAGAGAGTGAGTGTGTGTGAGAGGGAAAGAGAGAGAGATAGAGAGGGAGAGAGGGAGGGAGACGCTGTGCAATAGGGAGGCAGATCAAGTTGGAAAAGGGGGAGGGATGAAGGAATTAGAGAGAATATAAAGAGATGTGTGTGTGTGTGTGTGTGTGTGTGTGTGTGTGTGTGTGTGTGTGTGTGTGAGTGAAAGAGAGCAGTGGATGCAGTGTGTAGAGGAAAGGAGGACAGAGAGATGCACACAGCAGCAGCGCCCACTGATGCTGAAAATGAGAAACATTTCATTACGAGGATATTGAAATTCTAATGTAACAACAAGTTACTGAACACACACAAATGCAGGCTATAAATATAATTTATTCCAAACGCTTTGAGCAAGCAACCTCAGAGATAACGCTTTTTCAATTTCCATTCAAAGCGTTTGTGTTTGAGGCTTGTTTTCTTAAGCAGGCTGTGATCCAAAGTTAGATTTCCACAACTTATGTTTGTATTTCTGAAGCTTTTCTCTTTTTTATCTCCTCACATTATTATATATTCCATTTTTGGGCTGGAGGATGGCAAAAATGCACTCTGTTTCTGTCTCCAGATGTTCCCCTCTCTTCATGGAAACTCTGGAATCAGTCAAGCTTAAATGGCAAACCAGAACGAATGAACCTTTTTTCTTCCACACAATAAATGAGATCCCAGAAGCCCCCGAGGAAGATACTGAAGAAATACATGGCATGGCCAATTTGTGAATGCATGCATGCAGAGAGAACACACACAGACACACACATTCAGATGGTTGTGTTGACAGAACCAGTTCACCAGTTTACAGAGAACCATCCAGCCTGCTTTTTTCCACCATGTGCTCATCTCTCTTTCAGCAGGGAGCCTTTATCAAAGCGAAAAGGTCCCGGCTATGTTAAGCCCCCTCTATATTTCTTTTGAAAATATTTGAGATGCTTCAAATATTCTTCACAAACATCAAAGACCTTGAATGAACAGCTTTTTATCGAGCTAAACAAAAGAAAATCCAATTTTTCTTCAGGCCAAATCTGATGAAGTTTGAAAATTGAAACGACAAAACTGCTGTTCTCAGTAAATGGGGGAAACTAAGGTCACACATATAGTGAGTGGCGGACCTATTAGAGTGGAAATCATTCAACCAGCCCACGGTTCTTACCTCACACATTCCTATCATTTTTTCTGCAGGTAAATTATGTTCTCCCATCCCCCATGTTATTAGAGCGCTGCTATCACAACTACACATATACTTTTCTGTAAATATAGCAACATACCCACCCACACCCATCCCCCCTGATTACAACAAGCCACACACACACACATAACCAACACATAGAGGCCTGCAATCGGCATCTCCTCCTGTCCCATGAGCTGCTCTGGCATTAAGAAGTGCCATCACCAACAAGAGATAGACTGACTGACACTTACAATCTAATCTGCTGTAAGGAGGGCCAGCCCTGCTATAATCTGCATTAATGCTAAATTATTGAGCAGCCTGAACACCACTGCCAGAGAGCCACACGACTGGCCACACACATAAAATATGGGGACATCCATTATTCAGAGATACATAAATGTTTTGTTTTCAAGTTTTAAGTGAAACAAAGTATTCCTCAATGGCATAATTTATTACTTAAAAAAGTATGACCACTTAAAATTGCTTAAATAATGGAAATAGTTTTGCCATTTGTTGTATAAGGCACCTTAAAATATAAAATATACAGAAGTTTGCATCAAAGAGACAATTAAAGAACTTCTATATTTGACTGAACAACGTGCGTGTCGTTTATCAACAGAACACAGAAGGAAAAAAAACTAGACAACCGTTGCTATGATATATTCTAATTTATCATAGCAACACTAACACTGTCCAACTTTTACTGATAGTTACACAGAAAAGGGAACATGAGATAAAAGCTTTTGTTGACCACATGTAATTAATTATGTTAGTAAAATCCGTAACAATATACATGTTTAATTCTTAATGGAATTTTGCTTAAATATTGAACAAATGGTGAACTTTGGGAACTCTCAGATCATGGCCTACAGGAATCCTGCTCTTGCTGATAATAACCCCTTCAAAATTAAACTGCAAAACATGGTTTTACTGCCCTTTAGTAACTTTTAGTCCTACTATTCTCCTGTTGCATGTTCGGTCCAGGAGATGGTAGAGATAACCCAGTCCCAGGTGCAGAAAGTGTCCTGAAGTTCAGCCAAAGCGAATGTGATGCACCAGCAGTCTGAGTTACACAAATCCAGTTGATCTTTTCCCAAGATACTGTCTTATTAATATGAAATCCCCTCGTTTTAGCCATGCTAGCAGCGTGGCTCTGGGGATAGCAATGTCGGTCAGTCAGCTGAAATATCTCATTAACTCTTGGCTGGCCGCCATGATGAAACTACAGCTACAGATCTCCCAGGCCTTTCGAGAATACATTTAATCCGCCATTCTAAGCACAATTTTAAAACTGTCCGACTACCTCAGCACAACTTTTTGGTAGTGCTAACTCGCTAACTTAAGCATGATGACGGTCTGAAAGTTTTGTTCATACATTTGTAACACTGTAGGCCTACACCAAAAAAAATCTCACTCCAAGCTGAACTCAAAGGTTGGCAGCCCTGCTGAAACTAAGATGGCAAACCCTGGCAATATAAAAACAATAAATCATCAGTAGGTTAGCATTGTCATTGTTAGCATGTGGAGGTTACCTTGTAGTTCAAAGTACACCCAGTTAGCATGTATAGACTCTGTGGTGTCAACAGAAGAAATTCTGTAATGAATGAGCTTCATTTTAAGAAGGCCTCCACTCAATTTATGTAACGTCTCAATAATTAGCTTCATCTTGAGTAATGCATTTTGTTACAAAACTCGAGTTTTGTCCACCTAATTTCTTCCATTATAATCACATTAGCAACCGGTAGCCTACCTTCTAAGATTAAATAAAAAATATTCTTGATTTTATTTTTTTACATAGAAAGAGCATAGGCCTACAGTCATAGCCCGCCCTCATAAGATATTCAGATAATTTTGTTGTTAGTAGGCTTCATTTGTGGCTGTCAGTATCATTATCAGTTTCACTAAATAATTTAAGACTGATCCCAGGAATTGTATAGCCTACATATATTTGTACTAAAATAATGTAGGCTATTTGATTTATTTCTCCAAAGCAAGCCATGATGCCATACCAGTGGAAACAGTTAGCTACCAGCACCTCCATAGATTTACATAGTAGGCCTATGGTCATGTGAGATTTATTTTAAGACAGACTACTAAACTTGTGAGCCTATCCTTCATTCTTATTGACCTAAAATCCCAAAACAGCTTTGCAGCAGTTTAGCCATGACATCCCATTTTCTTTGATCCAAAATGGTCCTCCTCTTCACCCTGGTGTCTCCCATGTCATCGTCATCCATCGATCTGTCTGATCGAGACTCATTTCTGTCAGGGTGAAGGCCTTGTGTAATCATGCCTAAGTGGAGAAAGCAGCTTCTCACTGTTAATCACAATAAATCAGCAGGCAACAACCTCCTGTCAAGCCTCTGACAGACATCCATTTACCTCACATGACAGTTAAATTACTTTTCTTGATTTTGACAAACAGTTGACTGTGAGACAAAGTGTAGTTCAACAAAATATCTTTAATAGATATAAACATTTTTTTACACATCACAGCTCAATGGAAACAGAATCACATGCTGTCACACATGTTAAGAATGAAGGTGCAGGGGCGATCTGCTGTGCTCGGGGCCCGGGGACTCATACGTCTGAGTCCGGCTCATCATGGTCTTTGTCCTGTCTTATGTCTCCCCAGTCAATCTTTTATATTGATCCTTTCACTCTCCACTATATCCTAGCCGGTAAAGCAGAAGTACATCAAAAAATAATCTTAAAAAATAAAAATGAAGGTGCAAATTTTGATGAATATCAAATTCTCCTTATATACAGTTGCACAGTATCCAAGTACAAAAGGAACAACTTATGAGGCTTAAATAAGGACTTTGTGTGGCCATCTACAAACCAAATTTAGGTCAGGCTTACGAGCAGATGACGCACTACAGAGAACTCTGTAGCTGAAAGATCAGGATTTGCACAATATCTTAATATGTAATCATATATTTAACAGTACCGATTAAATCTATGGAGAGATTTAAGGATCAGATTGAGGCCTTTTAGCATGCTATGGATGGAGGACATGTTGTCAACACTAGGTGGCACTGTCAATCAATCCACTGCAGAAACTGTAAGGACTTTCAAAAAACATAACAATAATTAGTATTTTGAATAAAAAGTTAGCTTTCTCCATTTGAAAACTCAACCAAAGTATATATATATTTATATATATATTTATTTTCTTGTAATAGACCGACCATAATAAGTTCATGCAGACCTTTTACTGCATATGGCTGATTTTTTTCTTTTCTTGGCCATCTTCTTTGTCATAAATAATCTTTACATATTCTATCAAGGGCAGATGTGAGAAAATAAATGTTAACATCGTATATTTACAATAATCTGAATCAGTGAACTGTCAATCTATATCTTTATGGCACCAATATTTTTACAATATATTTAGTTTTCATAAGCTTTTGACCAGTAGTCCTTTGTAGTTTTACTTGTTTTCAACTTTTTAGAAATAAAAAAATGACACAGCTTTTATTACGCAATATAGATTTGACCTTACAGTGTTTACGGTTGTGTGCTATGCAGAGGGTCTGTCTGTGTCTGCCTAACGACACTGCTACCAAAGGAGCATCATGGGGGACCATACCTCCCATGACCTCATATAGCTTCTTTTCTTTTGGTTAGTAATAAAGAATAATCAGTGTTATCACTGAATTGGGAAAATTAAATGGCAATTAATAAAAAAAACACTTAATTCTTAGAAAGTGTAAACCTCAATCAGAGGAATGTGGGACTATTTTCAGTCAGTCTTGCATGGAGGGAGTATATTTAAAATTGTGTTGGAGCATTTTAATTG